TTGTCTCTGTGTGAAGACACTACTCTAGGAAAGAGGAAGCTGCCTTTATTTGAATTTTTAGCATCTCTGTTACTGTGGATTGCTCTTTCTGTTACTTAGTAAGATGCTGCGGGGAGACCAATCCTTTGTGAGTACCCTGTATTCTTACACAGCTTGTGGGGTGTGCCAAAAATGCAGCACTCTGGCTCAGGACATGCCCAGCTTGGTTTTGGCTCCAACTGGTCCACATTAAGCACAGAGTTGAGCCACGGTGTCTAAGGCAGGGGTCGTGACAGGTGGATGGGGCTGCGGTCGGGTCTGGATACAGTCGTCATCTCCCTTGGCACAAGTGTGGACTGGAAAAAGACATACCGGGCCGGGCCAGACCGCAACACCTTCTGGCGCTTTGGAGTACAAGGATAGACGTGGGACAGACTAGGCTAGGTCCCAACCCCAACTGAGCCATATACGAGCTATATGGGGGTGTGGACAACTGTGGCTGGGCTGAAACACCCTACAGCAAGAACCAGAATGGGATGATGGCCAGTTAGGAAAGGCCACTGTTCCTGCTAGGACAGGAGGCGAACTGGCACATGGACCCACTGGTATGCACGAAACCTGGCACATGGAGGGTTTCTGATGGAGGAGCCCGGGCAACTCCTCTGGCAGGACACAGACCCCGCAGGTCAGCGCAAGAAACATGGAAGGTAACAGCCAAGAGGTCATGGAAAGTGTCCCACTGGCATGCATTTGGCATGGGTTGGGGCGGACAAGGCTGAGTCTGCTCGTGTCATCCACTGGTAAATCCGAACGCCAGAACAGAGTGTGGGTCGAACCAGGTCCGGTCGTGACAAGAGCAGCACACAATTTGGAATGTCAAGGTGAGGTAGCCTGAGCCGGATGCAGCCGCAGCACCCAACCAGCACACGTGAGAACCAGGAAGGGAGGAAGCAGAGCTGACAGGGGAATAAGGAGTGGTTCCCTAGCTGAACAGCAACTTACACTGAGGAGCGTGAGCTGGGTAGGGGGTAGACCAGACCAGGCAGGGACACAGCACCTGCGCACCTCATGTGGACCAGATTGGGTGAAAGCCAGGCTGGGCTGACTATTCCCATTGGTGCAAGCTACAATCAGAGTAGGTGAGGGTTGTTGGGACTTGGTCATAGCATCAGCTGGTGGAAGCTGATACAAAGGGTTAGACATGTCGAGTTGAATCACAGGGCCAACTGGAGAGGGTACAACTGGAATGGGAGCAACCTGGGAGGGAAATAGTGGGCTCCTCCCTCTTGGGTCATCACCTTCCACGGGAGGGCATGTGAACTAGGTCAGGGGCTGGGGTGGCTAGACAGACACCCAACAACATCTGTTAGGGCCCGTTGGATGAGATGGTTGGATGGAAGTAGGTTGCAACACCCGTTGGCAAGTATATGAACAGAAGAGTATTTGGGACAGACTGGACTAGTATGCCATACATATTGGCAAGACAGGGTAGGGGGTGGGCCTGATTGGGGTTACTGTGAGCCGCCCTGACTGGGCTGCAGCTCCTACTGGTACGTGCGAGGGCCAAGTATGTCCAGGGCGGAACCAGGCCAGACTACAAGAGGACACGGGTGGAGACAGAACCAACCCAGCAACTGCAACCACCAGCTGATCAGGGCAATGGACTGTGCCGGGCCCTATGCTTACTAGAACACGCAGGAATCTGGACTGGGAATACCTCAAAATTTCTTTGAGGATCTCCCCAGTCGAGACACCGGACTCAGAGTCCTAACCAAGGAAAGACAGAACAAGTCAAGCAACAACCTCAGCTATCTGTTGGCAGCAAAAAACTGGGCAAATGGAGACTCTAGAAGGGACTATCAATCAGTGGACTCTTCAATGACCACAAGGTGCTTGGAGTGGTGAGACTGGCAGCGACCCATGAATGGTGAACTATTGGAACCACTCGATCGAGTATCTCGGAGCATGCCCCACATCCGGGACTTAGGGTGGGTGGGAAACTGGGTGGGGTTTCTTCCTCTATATCCCCCTTTAGGCCTTGAACCTTTTTTTTTTACCCCAATTAAATATGGTAAGATTGTCAAAATTAAAAAAATAAATAAAATAAAATAAAAAGATTATAATGGTTATCTCTAAAAAAAAAAAAAATGCAGCATTCTGAAGGCCTTTTACACAAGCCTGTTCTCAAACAACAGGCTTTTTGGCTGCTTGTTATGAAACGGGCAGGCCCAAGGTCAGTGTTCTCTCCCTGGTAGCACAGTCCACACAAGATACAGTCTATCCTGCCACGGTCCTCGATCAGGGACGTGACCTACAAACAGTGATGCTTATGCTGCCTGCTTTGTCTCTGAGCCAGCAGTCTGTCTATTGCCTGCAAGTGTGAAACTGGAACAAGTTTGACCTCACTAGCTTGCCGTCAGATTTTAGGCCTAATAAACACACCAATCTGAAACAGTCAGTACATGAACATTTAGGAAGTCTGTACTAGTAGAGAACAGCATATATAATCAGTTAAAATCCAAGGCAAAGCATTGTGCCGCACACCTGCAAGTTGTAGCTGCCCCGTGGGCTAAGCTTTGAGAGATCATGTAAAGAAGCAGTGTAGTAAGTGGTTCGAGAAAGCAGGAACATGTTCCCAGCACACTGATGAAACAGGGAGCTGTGCAGGTCCTGGGGGAGTAGTTGTTGCTGGGGATATTGATTTCACTGTATTCAGTGTGTTTGGAGAAATGCTGTATTTGAAAAAACTTACAAGATAGGAGTAAAATGAATTATTGTGGGTTAAATGAAATTTATTGAAGATGAGATAAACAATTATATACAAGTATATAAAGTAAATGCTAAAAAGTATTTCTTGATTGTCTTTCATAAATATGTGGATAATGTGTGCCAGTTACTAAGACAGCATGATTATTTTATTTATGGCTCTTAGCATTTTCTGCAATCAGGCCAAGTGTAACGCTCTGGCTCTGCTCTCTCTTTCCTTCTCTCTTTTTTTTTTTAAGTTTTAAAATTCTGCCCTTATCATACTTAGTGGAAGAGCCAAATATTCTAGACTCAGAAATAGTTAGTACTCTCGTAGTGTTGCTAGGAAAAGCTGAAGGTAAACTCTGCATATTTTTACAAACCTAGATCAGTGTAAAGAGAATGTTAAATTCTTTGAACTAAACTACAGTTAACTCTTTTCTTAGGTGCAATAAACTGCTAAAAGTGAACTGTGTAACTTAAGAGTTACTTAGAAACATGAGCGTTAACATGGTAGCTTGAATTTTATATTGTCAGTGAAATCTGTGGTGATCTTCTGGATAACCCAGTCCCCCAAGATTTTGGCTTGCAGAAATCATTGCAGGATACACTTAGAGCATTTGTTGTGATGGATTGGAGTAAATGCTACTATTCTTCAAGTTATCATAAATTTTCCACTTTTCTGTCAAGACTCAGCTTTACTTTAGGAGATGTGTCATATTCTGTGTGGCCAAGGAGAAATGGAGGCGGAGCGAGATGGCAGCTGGAAGGAGGAAGCAGGGAAATCAGTTCTACCTCCTTTGATCACCATTAAGATTGCAATATTGTCCTGTTTGATGTTGCTCTCTGAAGAGAGTTAACCCTTAAATATTTATTGACTGTCCATGTTGTGAATTGCCTCTTCCTGTCTTGTTCCCTGTAGTCATCCTTATGTTGGGCTAAATGTTTTACCGGGAGCTAAAGAGACAAGCTGCATCAACTGTAACAAAATCTCTTAGGGAATTCAAAGAATGGCCTAATGAAATTTTGAGAATTATCTGTTCAGTTTTACTTCCTCCTTGCTTTCTTCTCATTTCCCCAGACGTTTAAAAAATATTATAGCATGTTATTAAAGAGCAGAAAAATAGGTTCTTTACTCTTTAGAGAAAGTTTTAAACTATTGTGAACTTTTCTAAAATGCTCTGAAACAATATTACGGTAGTGTTCACAGAACTAAATGTGAGCCTTAGTAACACAGAGTGGCTCCCCAGTAAACACGAGCTACTGATAGAATTTGATCTTTTCTCTCCACCCTTTTGCAATTCACATTAACTGTTTGAGTCATGTGTGTTTCCCATGTGTCTGATTATGATTGTCTACCTTGGTTATTCTGAGGAACTGAAAGCCAGTCCTGCTGTGCTGTGCAGTACCTCTCACTATAGTTCCTGAAAAGGCACATGGATGGTTTTTGGATATTTTGTACCAACTTAAAAAAAAAATCTTACTTTAAAAAGAACTTGTTGTGATTTTATGGAAATTATGCTTTTCTGGTATCAGAAATTTATAAATTTAATAGCATGCAGAGTAGTCTGTAACTACAATATGCTTTACAAACTTTTACAGTTTTTACCCACCTATTGATGAACCAGCCATTGGAAATAGTAATATTGATCTGTTAAGGCGGCAGGAAAGAAAAGAGATCTTCAAAGGAAAAACATTTGTATTTTTAAATGCCAAACAGGTAATGTTAGAAATTATACTTTCCTAAAGAAGACCATAAATCAACACGTGCTATTGTTCTCACACTGATAAGGTATTTGATTTGAGAATTTTTGTACAGAATTGTGAAGTGCAGGCACCAACGTCTGCCAGGTGATCATGTATATAATTATATTTCTTAATACCTGGTAACTGAGCTGGTTTATATAAATATGTAAACGCAGAGGACAGGAAACTTTGTCCTGGCTTATTCAGTCAGTAAGCATCCATAGAGTGTCTTCTCTGTGCCAAACAAGGGTCCTAACTTTGTTACTGCAGAAAGTCATGCGGGTAAGCCGACAGAGTAAGTCTGATGATGACGATGATGTTACTGTGGACAAGGTAATGGTTCCAGGGCTGCATGGAGAACTTCTGAGTAAGGATTCTGCCCAAAATGAAACCTCAAATGATCTATTCTAGGAGTAGAACCAATTCTTTTTAATTTCCAATTCTGTTTTATTTTCCAAATTCAATTTTTACATAGTAAAAGTTATCTTGGGGCACTTTGGCTGACAAAACATGTTTCTTTCCATTTTTAGTATAAGAAACTAAGTTCAGCAGTTGTCTTTGGAGGTGGAGAAGCTAAGTTGATAACAGAAGAAAATGAAGAAGAGGATAGCTTCTTTTCAGCTCCTGGAACGTGTGTTATTGATATTGCAATAACCAGTACACAAATGGTAATTCCTGACTCTCAGAAAAAATGGATTCACTCAATTATGGAGATGCTTCAGAGGTACAGCACTATTATTTTAAATTAAAATGCAAATGGGAAGTTTTATGTGACATTTTGATTATGCTTCATTTAGTAATGTAAAACTACTAGCTTAGAAAACTACTAACTCAGAAATTTTGGGGAAAATGACCTTAAAAGACATTCATTGGGGGAAAAATATTTTTAAATTCACATATAGTGCTTTCCTAATACCCAGTTTCCGTGACTTTTTTTTTTTTATGGGAAAGTCAGATATACAGAGGGGAGGAGAGACAGAGAGGAAGATCTTCCGTCCCATGATTCACTCCCCAAGTGAGCACAAAGACCGATGCAATGCCGATGTGAAGCCAGGATCTAGGAGCTTCTTCCAGGTATTCCACATGGGTGCAGAATTCCAAAGATTTTGAGTCATCCTCGACTGCCTTCCCAGGGCAAAAGCAGGGAGCTGGAAGGGAAGTGGAGCTGCCGGGATTAGAACCAGCGCCCATATATGATCCCTGCGCATTCAAGGCGAGGACCTTAGCAGCCAGGCCATGCCGCCGGGACCTCCATGAACTTTTGAAGACGCAGCCTACTTACAAAAATTATTGTGATAGTTATGCCATGTGGTTTACTTGAAGATTGATTGTGACTTGGTGTGCTAGGAACATTTTTATTAGAATATTTTCTGCCCTCCCCCTTTTTTTTACTTAATAGAATTTGTGGGCTTAGGTTTTCTGAATCAATGCAGTCATATTAAGCTTTTTTGCTGAATATGATACAGTTGAGAAGGTTAAAATTCAAAGATAATTTCTTTCTGAAGTTGCTTACACCTGAAATGTGCTTGCCCTTTCATGATAATTCCATATTAAAATTCATATAAAAATTTTCTTCCTCTATAATGTGATTTTGAGAAAGCAAAAAAATAAAATAAAGGTCAGATACTTAGGATTTGTAGTGGGGTAGTGTCAGTATATACGTTCAGTCTAGGATTTCAGCCATTCTGCCATCAGCTTTTTATTGGTTAACAATTTTAGCAATATTATTATTTTTATTTTAAGATTTGTTTATATGAAAGGTTGAGTCATAGAAGGGAAAAGGGGGAGACAGAAAGAGATCTTCCCACGTGGCTGCAGTGACTGCAGCTGGACTGATCCAAAAGCAGGAGCCTGGAGCTTCTTCCCCGTGGGTACAAACGCTCAAGCACTGGGGCCATCCTCCCCTGCATTCATAGGCACATCAGCAGGGAGCTGGATTGGAAGTGAAGCAGCTCAGACCTAGCCACCGTGCCACTGGATCCACAGTCTCAGTGTTATTGAAGCTTAAAAGGATTTGTGAAATTGTGGAGGGTGTTCCTGGAGCACTCGGTGGAGTCCTCTAGGATGACGGAGGATATAGATTCCCCAGCACAGGGCAAAATCGCTAATCACCTACCACAAAAATGTGGTGGACCAGAGAAAGCTCATCCCAGCTGAGGATCCAATTGTAGCTACAAGTATGCTTCTTTAATTGGTCAATATTGGAACAGACAGCCTGAGGCTGTTCCACCCACTGCTCCCTTCCAAGCATGTGGTGGCAGTCAGCATAAGGAATAAGGGACTGCACTGCAGGTGCACCCCTCAGGTCACTTTCTGTGTGGCCACAGTTGTCAGCCACTCCGTGGGGACCTGCCTGTCTCCTGCCTCCTTGCAGGGTGAGTTCAGTTACCCTAGCTCTGCTCACTCTCTCTAGTGAATTATTCACCCCCTCCATCACACCAACTTCTCACAATGGAAATACCAGGTTTGCTAGTCTGTTGAATAAATTTATACTCACCTAAGAAGATACATAGTTGGGACCTTGAGTGCAGATATGCCCGAGAAATTCATCACCAGCTCTCTTAGAGATTCAGTTGTCCTGTTCCCAGAGTCCTTCTGACGATGGCCATTGCTTTTCTTTTTCCTCATGTGGGTTTGCTAAATAGAAAATAAATTTCAGGGGCCGTTACCGTGATGTACTAGGCTGTGGTGTCAGCATCCCATATGAGTGCCAATTTGCGTCCCTGCTGCTCCAGTTGGAGGGTGGAACCTGGAGGGCAGGGGGGAGATGTAAGATATTTGTGAACTGTGCAGGTATTAGGCTACTGCTTTTTAGAGAGAGTCCCTGACAGTGCTCTGTCTGTCTCAGGAACCCCTGCTTGCTGTCTGTTCTGGTTTTCCTTTCCTTCCTGACTGCCTGTAATTTAGACCTGTTAGCACTTTCCCCTGTTATTGTTTCCAGTTTAGCAGCTTCAGGAGCAGCTGCAACAGTGGTGCTGTGTGACTGACTAGGTAGCTAATAGCAAATGTCATGAATCAGAGGTCACTGTTAGCAAGTGAAGGATGTCTGAAGGAATCCTGAGGCTGATTTTAGAACTCTTCATCTGGAAAAAGAAATGGCTTGTGAGTGAATGAGGTAACGTCTGAAAACAAAGATTGATTTTTTTGATGCCTTAAGGAAATTAAAAATAAAAAAGTGCTGAGAATCCATGAATGCCTAAGTATGGTAGATGACCTGTGGAACATGTAGAATATGTAATCATCTGTGTGAGCCGTTCTAATGAGAAGCAGACAGTGCTGAGGTTTTGTATTGAGAACATATGCACGAAGGTGAGCTGTTTATTTATTAGGATAGGATACTAAATTTAAAATCTCGTAAAATTTTTAGTCTATTAGAAGCAGATGTGTTTAAATGTTTCCAAAGTTATAAAACATTTGAAGTACTAATTTTGGGAATTTCGGGTAGGTATGATTTGGTTCCAAATACAAAGTACAGATACCAAAAGCAAACTTGCGTCTCCTCAGACATTCTAAGTTTTTGCTGTAAATTCCTAAATAACAGTAATTTTATTTCTCCTTTTCCATCCCTTTTGACTCCATTTAAGAACGATGATGAGCTTCAGAAGATGGTGATGAACTTCAAGAAGAGTGAATTTAGGGCCCGGCGCAGTGGCGCAAGTGGTTAAAGGTCCTCGCACGCCCGGGATCCCATATGGGCACCGGTTCTAATCCTGGCAGCCCCGCTTCCCTTCCAGCTCCCTGCCTGTGGCCTGGGAAAGCAGTCGAGGACGGCCCAAAGCTTTGGGAACCTGCACCCGCGTGGGGAGACCCAGAAGAGGCTCCTGGCTTCGGATCGGCATAGTATCGGCCCGTTGTGCTCACTTGGGGAGTGAATCATCGGATGGAAGATCTTCCTCTCTGTCCCTCCTCTCTGTATATCCGCCTTTCCAATGAAAAAATAATAAAAATAAATCTTTAAAAAAAAAAGAAGAGTGAATTTAGATCATTGGTGGTTAGCTCCACTTACAGAAATCTGTCGGATGTAAATATTGATGATGGTCAACTGACAGTTTTCAAGAAATTCAAAAAGGTTGGTATTTCTTTAACTATATCACAAGAGGGCAATGTTTGAAATGTTTTTTGAAATACTGTTATGGTGAAGTGGTAATGACAGCAGTTTATGTGCAAAACTGATACAATTTCTCCTACCTAAAAGCTGAGCATAATCAGTAATGAAGGCTGTAGGCATTCTATTATTACATGCCTTTATAAAACCAAATAGAAACCCAGTCATGTATCCCTTAACAACACTGAGATACGTTCTGAGAAGACAGTTTCATCATTGTGCAATACCATGTTGTAGATCATATCACCTGACTACGTATCTAGCTGATATTAAAATTGTGTGGGAGCACTGTCATAAAAGTCAGTCTACCTTTTGTTTCTTGATCCAGACCTAACACTAACAGGTGGTCTTTGCCCTCTGCATTTGATCAGAGGACAGTAATTATTTCAGTGTCTGCCGTAACTGACATAGTGTAGCTCTTTGTCTGTGATGTGAGCGTGTACTGTTGTCATTTCTCAGGTTGATTTGTACCTGCTATGATGCTCTAGAAGGGTCTGAATTCCGTCCGACAGGAGCAATCTCTTCTGCTTAGACGAGATCCCTCTCATATGACGCCTTTTTAGTGGTGCACTTGCTCTTTCCCAACTCACAGCTGTGGCTTGTGAATAGAAACTCAGAAGAGACGAGATTTTATTATTGATTAAGTTACCAGGGAAAAATGTGTTTGTTATTGGCATATTAGTAGCTATAAAACAGTGTAAGTAGTCCAAGTACCTAGAAAGCAGTTTGAATATATAAAAATCATTAAAAATACTTATAGCTTAAAATTTACTTTTAAACTATATAAGGCGTTCATACCAAAATTTATATAGGACAAGTAGTTTTCTGGATTGCCTGTAAATAAAAGGAATTTGAGTGTTATCCAAATCAATAATATGGTGGTTGTTGTGCTTTGAAAAATGCGTTTGCATACAGAATTTTATTTTTTAATGCAAACTGTTCATGTGTAAATAGTTAAAATGTTATTTAGAGTATAAATCGATTCCATCTGCAATAGCTATTTCCTAAAAAAAATATTGTTTACTTTGAGTGTTTGAATTGCTAATAATCAGATAAATCTCTTTTTTAATTTTAAAACCTGCAATTTTAATATCTCAGCATCTTCTCTGTACATATATCCTAGTGACATGTCTGAAATGAGGTATAGTACTTGCTCAAAAAGATAAAACTCCAAACCAAATGTGCTTATTACCTCATTCCTTTCTCATTGTCATTTATGGCATGTAGTATGGTATGCGTGATTTTTATAGTCTTTGGCTTTTAGATGTGATCACCATAGTTTGTTAGTTAAATGCTGAAAACCATATAACTTTTACTGCTTTCAGGTCACATTTCCCAGAGCAGGAAAACTGCCACACATCATTGGAGGATCACATCTAATACTTCATAATGTTTGAAAGAATATGGAATTAGAAGAGTGGCTAAGGAGGAGATGGAGGCTACTTCCAAGTGAAGCCCACAAACTGCTTTAAACTACAGATGCAAGTTTTAAGATTGAGCTCCTAAAGGCAACCACTGAAAACCAGAAACAAGGATAACTGGCCTGAGATGATCAAGAAACGTGAGATCTGAAGCCTTGAGATTAATTAATCTGTACTTTCTGTATCACTTCTTTTAGAAAATTCTACTTTATTGGTATTAGTTTACAAAATGGTACATAAGCAAATGGGTTAGTTAACATTCTGATCTAAACAGAGGAAAAAGTTTTCAGCCACAAAAAAGCATGGGTGTATAGGTTATTACAAATCTATCAGTGATAAATTTGATAGATAGCCTGCTGTTTCTAAAGCAGGAACTGTGATTAAATATACCTGATCATTTATCATAGGGAATTTTCTTGAGTAGTGCCCGTTTTGGAAACCATTAAAATATGGTGTGCCTACCAACAAGTGCACGATAGCTGCAGATCAGTGGGTGTTTCTGTGCTCACAACCACCATCCAAGTTAAGAACAAAACATGCCTAACACCTGGAGTCCAGTTTTTATTTCCTGTTTTCTTCTGAACGTCCAATTTGGTGTCAAAATTTCTCACCTTTTTCTCCCATGCATCAGACCACTTTTCTACATGTTTTCTTTCTTTATGTCACTGAACTTTATTTTTGGTGATGTCTTCGGATCATCTCCCCATTTACAGCTTCTTTCTTCAGTTCTGGTTGGTATGTCCTCAGTCCATTGAGTTCTAATTCAGCCTAGTGTATTGTTTGTATCACTGAGAGTCTATTCCATTCTTCTGTAAATTTTCTTGTTTCCTGCTGATTCTTTTAAGTTCCTCTTTCCTTTGCCTGTGAGATCAGTACCTGGTATTTCTTGATCCTTGATCTGTTTTGCCCTTTTTTTCCAGAGTATCTATTTTGTATGCTCTGATTGTGATCATTTTCCTTGGAATGTTATCTGTGTGTTTTCTTTGGATTGTAAGTTCAGTTTATTTCCTCCAGAAAAAATAAAGTTTGCGTCTGTATGCCAGTCTTGCTCACCAATACGTGACCACTTTACAGTCTCTTGTGATACTTGTTTTTGGAGCACTCAGTATGTATTTGGAGTCAGAAGCCTAAAGTAAAATTTTTATTTCCTTCTTTTATCAGGTGCCAGAGTCGAGACAGCACAATGCTGTGGTCTGTCCTGTGTTTTGTAGTTTAAGTTTCTTTCTCCCTTTAGTGCTGAGTTCATCCTCCCCTTGGGTTTTCTTCTGTGTCCCTGCCAACATCACAGAAAGTGAGTCGTTTGTTGTCTCTCTGCTGTAAACACAGAGGGAATTGTTTGTGCCTCTGTCCAGCTCCCCTGCTCTATCTTTTGATAGTCCAATGTTTCCACTTTCTGGATGACTTGCGTGTTTAAAGTATCCCTACTTAAGTTTGAAAGTAAGCAGCAAATAGCGTATATCTCAGGGTTGATGTTTCTCCACTATTTTTTCCTGGGATTGGGGCCAGCCCCCCCAGCACAGGGCATCTCCCCGTGGCCTTTGGCCCCTGCAACCGATGTGTACAAGGGGACCCACACAGTCCCTGGAAGATACCAATTATGCAAAACCTGTGTAGAGAATTCAGAACTTTTTTGCACCAAAGCAAGCTTATTTTAATTCAATTTTCCACAAAATTTTTTTTTGGAAATGCTTTATTTCAGTACTTTTCTGCTACTTCATATTTACAAGTTGTGTTGTTTATGTGGGTATGCATTATGCATGGCTGTATTCCACACATGCTAGGTTACACTTTTGAAGTGCTCTTGTTTTAGTCTGTTTTTCCGTTGCTATACTGAAATATTTGAGGCTGTGTACATTATAAAGAAAACGGGTGGGGTTTTTTGTTTGTTTCTTTTTTTTTTTTTTTGTTAAGGATTTATTTTTATTATTTCTTTATTGGAAAGGCGGATATACAGAGAGGAGAGACAGAGAGGAAGATCTTCCATCCGATGATTCACTCCCCAAGTGAGCGCAACGGCCGATACTATGCCAATCCGAAGCCAGGAGCCTCTTCCAGGTCTCCCACGTGGGTGCAGGGCCCCAAAGCTTTGGGCCGTCCTCGACTGCTTTCCCAGGCCACAGGCAGGGAGCTGGAAGGGAAGCGGGGCTGCCAGGATTAGAACCGGTGCCCATATGGGATCCCGGGCGTGCTAGGTGAGGACCTTTAACCACTTGCGCCACCGCGCTGGGCCCTGTTTGTTTCTTTAGATTTTAGTTTTTTTTTTTTTTTTTTTCTCATAGAACCTAAGATTTTATTTGATTCTCTTCCCCAAGACCAGGAATCCCAAAATACAGGGGGAGGAAAGTAACATTGCATTACAAGGGACACTAAGTTCACGACGTCTGTGTGAGGTGAGATGTTACGGAAGAAAATACCATGAAAATAATAATCCTATGAGAATTGTTTTTCAGCACAGTAAATTTGAGCCTTGGTCTTCATGAAGATTCTGTAGCTTATATAGAAAACTATAAATATATAAGACGTCAGAGGGAAGTAGGAATACTTATTAACATTCTAGAGGCCTAAGGAACTTCTGAGAGCAGCGGAAGAAGGAGGTCAGCTGAATCTTAAGAATACAGAAACCAGAAAACTACGAAACTTCCTGGGTAAAAAAGTTGCTCCAAAATGGAACCACACGTTGTGAAAGCACACAACTTAGGTATATTTTTAAAAGAAAAGCAAAAATACTGAGTAATGGTAGTCCCTTCCAAAAACAAAGTCTTAAATTAAGGGGAGAGATTCGAATAGTGTAAACGAGTCTGGCTCAGAGAGAAAACTGGGCGTACCCACTGCCCCGGAGCCCGAGGGCGTACCCACTGCTGCCCCGGAGCCCGACAGCCTGAAGGTCCCAGTCGGGCTGTGGGGACGTCAGTCCCAGAGCTGCTCTGAGAAGCTCACTTGTGCTCCTTCGTGGGTGCGTAGTACAGCTCCATGGGCTTGTTCACTTTCCAGTACTTCTCACTGACCAACTCCAAAGAGAAGGACCCGTTTAAAACGGTGAACTGGCCACTGGCTGTGGCGATGTAAATGGTGTACTGCTTCTCGCTGGCTGTGTCCAGGTTCATCTGATTGGACTCTCCCTTGCTCCGCAGTTCCTCTAAAGCTAACCTTACGGCCAGGTACTTGGACAGGTGATCCACGGTGGCATTGCCTGAAGTTTTTATGTATCTTGTCTGTGCACTGTCGTCTTTTTCCATCAGCGTGGGGTGAGGCCTGAATACCAGTTCAATTTCACTGGCCCCGTCCATCACGGGGTCGATAGCCACCGAGGCGTTGTTATTGTCAAGCTCAAGCCCTGAATCATCCGACGTTTTGGTCCGTTTGTTGCTAGGGCCAGCCTCCTGATTGCTGTGGGTCGAGGCGTTGCTACAGTGTGAACTGTCTCCGTTATCTTCTGCCCCACTACCGTTTTCGATCTGCTGCTTCTTGCCTCGCTGTAGTCTGTTCATGGCCTGGATCTTGAGTCCCTCCTCGATGCTGTGGCTCAGTGCCTGCTGGTTGTTGTGCTTGTTGATCCTGGCCAGCACGCTCTCCTGGTGAGCTTCGTACTCGTCCCGACTCGGGTAGATCTTGCTGATGAGCGCATCGAAGTTGGGGTCCGGTAGATTTTAGTTTTTATAAGATTGAGTTAGAGAAAGGAAGAGGGTCACAATGGCCAGGGCTGAGTCAGGCTGAAGCTGGGAGCCAGGAGCTTCAGCCAGGTGTCTCCTGTGGGTGCAGGGGCCCAAGTCCTTGGGCCACCTTGGGCTGTTCTCCTGGGCACTTTAGGGAGCTGGAATGGATGTGCGGAAGCCAGCAGTGGAGCTGGCACCCATATGGGATGCAAGTATAGGCAGCATCAACTTAACCTGCTTTGGGACAGTGTCAAACTCAGAAAAGAAATACATTCAGTTCACAATTCTGGAGGCTCAAGGGCCTGCTGCAGACATCAACCTGACTCTGGGGAGGGTCTCCTGGCAGGTGGCATCACAGCCCCAGCATTTACCTACAGAGAAGGATGCTGAGAGAGAGATGGGGAGGGAACAGCAGCAACCTTCCAAGAGCAACCAGCCTTGAAAGATGCCTCCATTATCACCACACTGAAGACCAAGTGTCCTGCCTGTGGCTCCCACAAGCACCAGGCCACAGGCAGGCATCACACACCTGTGTTTAACAGCCATCGCTCAGAGGTGGACACGTGTGTCCTTTGGAGTCCCAGGAGGTTGGGGTGGCCACCAAGATGGGCAAGCTCTAACCTGCACTCTGCCCCTGGAGCCCACCCAGTCTCCTTTTGTGTCACATTCAGAGGAGGTGAGGCAGGACTTTCATGGCCTCTTCCAGCTCTCTCCAAGCTGAGGACCCTGCCTGGGAGATGAGCCCTGAACAGGGCTTCTGCCTGTGACCTGTGGCAATGGCACCCAGAAGTGGCCAGTGCTTTGCCACCCTTCAGAAGAAACTTTGGCATCTGCAGGGAGGAGCGGCCCCAAGAGAGCAAGAACCTGCAGGCTTGGCCCTGCCCCCGTAACACTCTCCTGTTCTGTCCCACCCAGCCACCCCCAACCCCAGAAGCAGGCAGCAGCTGAAGGCAAGGGCGCTGCGCATTGGTTCAGGATTCAGAGGGTGCTCCTGGCTCAGGGTTTCTCAGGGTGTGGGGGTCACGGTGCCTGTGCTATGGTCCTTGGGGAACTGGCGGCTGAGCGCAGAACAAGCACTCTTGATGTATGCACCCAAATGCCCGGCCTGACGCAGCCACCACAGACCGCAGCCTCAACTACGAGGTGACCACGAGCTGAGACCTGCACACTTCAGTCCGGGAAAGCCCATTGCCTGCCCCTTTCCAACAGCTTTATTCCTTCAAGCACTGGGCTCCTCAGAGAATGTTCGATTTCAGCCGGGGTGTCCCTGAGGACTGGTCCCGCTGTGTGGAGGAGACATCCCAGAAGCCTGGGGTTACCTGTCCTGGGGACTGCATCCAGGCACCCTCTGGGAACCTGGACATGGATGTGGAGAGGCCATGCCTCGCTCCTCATCCATCTGCTTCTCTCGGGCTTGGGTCCTGAGAACTACTGCCAGGTGCCTCAGGCCCTTGGGTTTGGGCATTGGAGCACATGGAGAATGGGGTCCAGTGAGGGCTTGGGGGTTAGGGCAGAGAAGTGAAGGGCCTGGTATCCGCTTCTGCCGAGAATCCCTTGCCCAGCCCCACTGTTAGACTTTGGATGAGTGAGTCTCAGGCACCTGACCCAGGATTCCTGCTTGCAAGCCACTGTGCTGCATCTCTAGGCACTGCACCAGGCTCTCAGCTGTGTTGTCAGTGCAGGAGAGGGCAGGGCAGAGAAAGGCATCCACTAGAACTCCTCCCCTATAGAATCATCCTGGCAGGCTGTTGTGGTGTGCTGTAGCTGGTGAAGCACCACCTGGGAGGCTGACATTCCATAGGGGCTCCAGTTCCAGGCCCAGTTAATTCATTTCCAGTCTAGCTCCCTGCTAATGTGCCTGGGAAGGCAGAGGAAGATGGCTCAAGGCCTCAGACCCCTGAAAACATGACAGAAACCTGGAAGAAGCTTCTGGCTCCTGGCTCTGGGCTGGCCTGTTCCCACACTTGCAGCCATTTGGAGAGTGAGCCAGTGGATGGAAGCTCTGTCTCTCCTTCGTGCTCTCACTGTAACTCTGTCTTTCAAATGAATAAACACATTCTTTTCAAAAGTACAATGGTGTTGAACTTCCTCTGTCCCTCACTTATGCTATACATACAAGAACGTGCATCAATTTCAAAAGTTTTGGAAAAGGTTTGGAAAACATTTTAATCTGCTTTTTTCTAGAAGTTTAAGAAGGAGAAGCCTCTACATCTACATGGAACCATTTGAATATGGGGTACAAAGCAGGGGCTGGAGGGGAAGAAGAGAGTCTCTTAGAAGCCCTACTTTAAAGGAGGGGCACCCCTCCCCCTCTATCCACCCATGATCCCAGAGAGTACAGATTTGGTGCCCAAGTGCCAGGTTGCTGGCTGCACTGGACCCTGATTCTTGGACATCTTTCCCCACCGCCCTTCCTGCCGCCCTGGAGGCAAGGGCACTGTCACCTCACCAGACCACAGAGCCCAGGACAGCATCCCAGGCACAGACACAAACAACCTGCACCTCTTGTGCCACTGTCACTGAAGACTCTGCACACTGTGGTTGGCAGCACCCATCCGACTGGGCAGTTCCTCGCCTCCTGGGGCTGCATCTCCCTGGGACAGGATTTTGTTCTGAGGCCCCGCAGCCTGCCCTGCACTGGGGCAGTCCCAGTGCAGGAGAAGGACAGGAGGCCACCTTCCATGAAGCTGGAGAGAAGGGGAGATGGCTGGGTGAGGACATGAGGCTGTCACAGACAGTGGGGAAGCAAACTGGTGAATCGAGGGCATAGGGGTGGTGGCCCATAGCAAAAGAAAAAGTGGGGGAGGGGAGCAGGTGAGTGAGGTAAGTGTCCAAAGTCATTCAAGATGTGGTGGAGACCAAGCACTGTGCGAGGAATCAGCTGGGCGTGAGCACTTGTAGGACCATCTTATTCAGGCATCAGAACACGCAGGCAGTGGTGTGGAATGGGGTCGCTGCAGCAGATGTCCGGAGCGAAGCCAAGTGCCAGCTCATGGCAGCTGTGTCCTGAAGAGGCCTCCTCACTTCACGTATCTCCTCCGGCTGTCAGCGTAGTCATCTGAAAGGGAGAGACTGTACTGAGTGCACAAGAAGATATCAGAGAGGTTGTGAGCACAAAGTGGGGGCCGTACCAGGGCCACGGCCAAGGCCTCCAACCCCCACCAGGGTAGTCCCTGTTGAGGAGATCACGCCCGCCATGTGCACGCATGTGCAAGACTAATGCTGTCCATGAAGCTGGTGGACAGGAGACAGCTGGGAGAGGACATAGTGGCTGTCACAGACAGTAGGACAGCAGACCTGACTCAGAGGGCACAGTGGCTAAACAGAAGGGGTGCAGGTATCTAGGATAAGGGGACACAATTGGGACCTAGAGGGGTTCAAGTCATGACATGGCATCATGGGCACACTAAACACAGTGGGAGAAATCAGCCAGTGCTGAGAATTTATGTGGTATCTTGTTCAGGCATCAGAACACGTCAGCATGCGCCGGCATGAGATGGGGTCACTGCAGATGTCCAGAGCGAAGCCAGGTGCTGCTGGCCAGGGCCAGCTCACAGCAGCCATGTCCTGAAGAGGCCTCCTCGATTCGCGTATCTCATCTGGCTGTCAACGTAGTTGTCTGAAAGGGAGAGAGACAACACTGAGTGCACAAGAAGGTATCAGAGCGGTTGTGAACACAAAGCCGGGGCTGCACCAGGGCCACAGGCAAGGCCTCCAGTGCCCACCAGGGCAGTCCCTGTGGAGGAGAACATGCCCACCAAGTGCCCGCATGCGCAGGACTGATGTCTGCGTGAGCAGCTCCCCAATGAGGAGCCCAGGATCTCACCCTCAGGGAAGCAGCACTGAGACAAGAACCCCCAGACCTGCAGTGTCTGCAGCCAACTCTGCATGCCTGTCTGGACAGAAGGACATCTCTACTCGGAGGAAGCACTAATGCCCACCCACTCACCCACAGGAGCTCTCAAACCCAGGCAAAGTCCCTGGAGACAGGAAATGACTGACAGCATGAGGTCAGCAAGAGGGAATGTGGGCCCCGAGAACAGACAAGGAAAACAAAACCCACTCACTGATGACAAGCCAACTGAAGTCAATCCGGAGAGAAAGGACAGTGTCTTTAGCAAAGGGATTTGGGAAAATAGGACCTAACTGTACAGAAGTATGCAAGAAGATCCCTACTAGACACCTCATTCGAATCAAAAAGCAACTCTAAACTGCTCAAGGATCTTAAATTCCCTCAAATGACTAAATGGAAATATTTCAAGACATGGACATAGACAAACACTTCCAGGGTAAGACTCTGAAGCACAGGCAATTCAAGCAAACGGGGATTCCATCAGGCTAAGAAGTTTCTACACGGCAAAGGAAATTATCAGCAGTCAAGAGCTGCATCAGAGTGGAGCCACTGGGACTCAAACCGGTGCCTCCGTGGGGTGTAATGTGCTGAAGCACACTGCCGGCTCCCTTAAAGAAAATGGCCTACACTCATCCACAGAACATATCTACTAAGCACAGAGGGACTGAAGGGCAAAAGACAAAAAGGAAGCAAAAAAATAAAAACACAGAGACAAATCAATAGAAATTAATTTGCAAAAGAGAAAAGTGAAATCCAACAATGGCACTAATATACTGTTTGTGAAGACATGAACAAGTCCAAGAGAAAGGCAGTGATTACACTTCTTTTGTAACACAATCATATGCCGTAAAGCAGCTAGAATCCAACATTTGACACAGCAGGTCAAGTCGCCACTTGCAGTGCTGTCACCCTGTAAGTGCACTGGTTCCTGTCCTGACTGCTCCACTTCTGTGCCAGCGCCACACTAACAGCCTGGGAAAAGCCAAGTGCTTGGGCCCTTTGCACCCACGGGGGAGATCCACATGGAACTTCTGCCTCCTGGCTTTATCCTGGCTCTGTCCTCACCATTGTGGTCATGTGAAAAGGAAATCAGCAGATGGAAGATTCAGGCTCACCCTCCACTCTCTAACTGACCTTC